TAGAAAACAGGAAGTAGAGCTGTGGCTCAAAGTGGCAGAGTGCTTACCACGAGCACAGACGCTCAGGGACAGTGTCCAGGCCCTGAGTTCAAGCCCTATAACCAACAAAAACAAAACAACAATTTTGGAAAGATTGTATTAGAGAAAATTAAAAGTAAGATTATAACATGGAAGGGGTGACATTGATCAAGATGCATTGTACTCAAATTGTTGTGTTGAATTGAAAAACAATAAAACTCTGAACAGTAAGGCATAAAAATAATTTTAGGAAGGATATGGTTATTGCTTTAAGACGGATTATTTAGGAGTCTTCAAAATGAGAAGCAATTGTGGGAAGAGCTACGAAACGAAAGGATATTTTCCCATAGTTATTTTGCAGAAGTATATTTAGGTGCATCTCTTATTTTTGGGTTTTGTTTTTATTTTTGCTGTTGTTGTCATGGGACTTGAACTCAGGGCCTGGGTGCTGTCCCTGAGCTCTTTTGCTCAAGGCTAGGGCTCTACTACTTTGAGCTACAGCACCACTTCCAGTTTTCTGGTGGTTAATTGGAGATAAGAGTCTCATGGCCTTTTCCGCCTGGGCTAGCTTTGAACCATGATCCTTAGGTCTTAGTCTCCTGAGTAGCTAGGATTACAGGCATGTGCCACCAGCCCTAGGCTAGGTGTAGCTTTTCTACTGGTTATTTACACTTCTCTTTCAGGCCAATCTAGCAAACTAATAGGGAGGAAGCCACTGGCTAGCATTCCTATTAACATCTTAAGTGTTGTTGACCCTCTGCTTGTATTTCTCATCGTTTCCTGTCCCTTCTTGTTATCTTGCTTAAAGAATTATTCTTCCCTCTTCAGGCTCCAGGGAATCTGAGCCAGAGAAAACAAGAACATGTAGACTTCAGTCCTCAGAGAGAATTTTCAAGCCCTAACAAGTAACCTTAGACTAGAGCAGCTGTTCTTCTCCAGCCGGGTAGGGCCACCACATACAACTGTCATTCTACACGGTTTGTGCGTGAACCCTCCTGATGTCATTTTCTTTTCTTTTTGTGGGTTGTTGGGCTTGAACTCGGGGCCTGAGCGCTGTTCCTGAGTGTTTTCATTCAAGGCTATTGCTCTACCACTTTAAGCCACAACGCGGTTTTCTGGTAGTTAATGGGAGATTCATGGACCTGACTGCCGGAGCTGGCTTTGAACCTCCATCCTCAGCTCTCAGCCTCCTGAGTAGCTGGGATTATAGATGTAAGCCACTGTTGCCTGGCTCTAATGTCATTTTGTACCTGCTGGTAGCATGTGTATATGTAACAAAGAGCAAAGGAAGTTCTTCAAAGGTGCAAATTCAGTTTGGTCTAAGTTAAAGTTCACAGAAAAGACTTGGCCTATTTTTGATGCTGGTCCTAGGGTTGACCACAAGAGCCCGGGCACTGTCCTTGAGCTTTTTTTTCACTCAAGGTTAGCACTTGACCGCTTGAGTCACAGCTCCACTTTAGGCTATTTTGGTGGGTTGTTGGAGGTAACAGTCTAATGGGCTTTCCTGCCCGGCCTGTCTTTTTGAACTTGGATCCTCACATCTCAGCCTCCTGGGTAGCTAGGATTACAGAGGTGCGCCCAGCTATGAGTCTGGTTTGAATGTGAACACTGATCTCTGGGTGACCAAGGGAGATGCGTGAAGAGTACAGGGAAAGGGCGCGTGCTGGTCAGCCGAAATGCCCTAGGCCTACTCTGGGGTGGGCGGGGGACTGCCTAGGGATGGGGGAGCAGAAAGAGGTTAGGAGGGATGCTGTGGGGCGGCGGCCTTGGAGCCAGACAGTAGAAAGCTCGGGGGAAGGAACAAGGGAGCTGTTGATCCTTTGATTTGAGCTCCCTTCCTGCTTGAGCAGTACTTAACCTTGTCTTCTTGCTTGGATTTGTCCATTTTGGTAATACGGGGCCTAGGAAAGCTAGTGCTAGTGCTAGTGGCTCCAGTTGGGAGGCCCAATGAGAGGGGTACAACAGGAAGACATCCTGATGGTTTCAGGTATTTGAGATTCTAGGAGGTTCGTAATGGAGAGGTGGGGAATGATGAACTTCCTCTCTGGTCTCTTTTCTTGGAACTACTAAGCCATCAACACCATTCTTCCTCTTCTCCGGTCCCTGTATGATTGAACAACTTCTTTTTTTTGGGGGGGGGGTGGTCTGGTCGTGAGGCCTGAATTCTGGGCCTGGGCGCTGTCCCTCAGCTCTTCAGCTCAAGGCTAGCGCTCTACCACTTGAGCTACAGCGCCACTTCCAGTTTTCTGGTGATTTATTGGAGATAAGAGTTTCAGGGACTTTCCTTCGCGGGCTGGTTTGGAACCATGATCCTCAGATCTCAGCCTCCTGAATATCTAGGGTTACAGGTGTGAGCCACTGGCACCTGGCAGTCATTTATTTATTTATTATTTTAGTTTTGGTTGTGGGGCTTGAATTCAAGATCTTGGACTCTTGCTTGGTTGGTTGACTTTTATTGCTCAAGGCTCGCCCTCAACCACTTGAGCCACAGCTCTCCTTTGAGTTTTTCAATTTTTTATTGTTATTATAAAGGTGATATAAAACGGGCTTACAGTTATATAAGTCAGGTAAAGAATACTTTTTCTTGGACAGAGTCACCCCTTCTCTCACTCACAGTTTTTCCCTCCCACAAGTTGTTTTCCTCCCAACATAATGTCAACATAATGTCTATGGGTACCACTGCTGTGTTTGTTCACCTTTGATCCTCCATTACTATGACCTCCCCCTTACCCTTCCAAGGACAGATACATGGACAAACAAACAAGACCAAAAGAAAAGAAGGTCAACAACAAAGAAAAACTTCTTGTTTCTATTTTCTGGAATTCATTTCCATAAATATTATTTTATATGATCATATGCCTCTAGGCCTGGCACCTTTGTATTCCTCCTTTAAGAGTATCTTCCATTGGTCTCACTGTGCATGAATGCCTAGAGTCTTATAGAATTTATCATGCCCTGGTGTATTATAGATCTACTTTCCGCACATGAGAGAGAACTTGTGCTGTTTGTCTCACTGAGCTTGGCTTACTTCATGTAACGTGATTTGTTCTTTGTCTATCCATTTCCCAGCAAATGACATAATATTATTCTTGCTAATAGCTATGTAAAATTCCATTGTGTATAGGTACCATAGTTTTTGGGTCCACCCATCTATTGTAGGGAATCTGTGCCATTCCCTTCTGGCTTTTTGGTAACTTATTGGAGATAAGTCTCCCGGACTTTCCTGCTCAGGCTGGCATCAAACCTCCGCCCTCAGGTCTCAGGCTTTGGAGTAGCTAGGATTACAGGCTTGAGCCATCCGAGTCTGGCAAAGTTTGCTCTTGAAGCTGTCCCTTTAGGATGCAGGTTCCCAAGTCCCAGCACATTTATGATGTAGATGGTTATTTTTTTTTTCTGGAATGACTACAATCTGGCTAGACTTAGGCTTGATAAGGGAATCTGTTACTCTTTATTGTGTCAGTCACTTCCTAGTCCTCTAAGCTGTTCTCAGAGAATGAAAGAGAGTGTATGTCTGCTTATTCAGTGTTTTTCAAATACTAATGGTGAGGGTTTCTCTTGGTTTTTGTTTAGGCCAACCATCAAGACCTAGTGAAAGATAGGCTGCAATCATGTTTGGTGCTAAAAAGAAATTGCTTGGTAAGTACCTACTTCTTCAGACAGCTAGAAGCAACATGAAAATGTATTATTATTATTTTGGTGCTGCTCCTAGGGCTTGAACTCAGAACCTAAGCACTAGCCCTGTGCTTCTTTCCTCAAAGCCAGCCCTCTACCATTTGAGCCACAGTGCCACTTCCAGCCTTTTTTGGTAGAATAGAAATAAGAGTCTCACAGACTTTCTTGCCTGGATGGGCTTCAAACCTCCACCCTCAGATCTCAGCATCCTGAGTAGCTAGGATGACAGATATTCTTATCTCAGTATTCTTTTTCATTTTTGCTAGTCCTGGGGCTTAAACTCAGGGCCGGAGCACTGTCCCTGAGCTTCTTTTGCTTAAGTCTAGCACTCTACTACTTGGGCCACAGGACTACTTCTGGTTTTTCTGTTTATGTGGCACTGAGGAATGGAACCCAGGGCTTCATGCAGGGTAGGCAAGCACTCTACCACTAAGCCACGTTCCCAGCCTTTTCCCAGTATTCTTTTACCATTATACTTTAAATTTTTTCAGTAGCAATGGCGGCTTAAAAATGATTCACAGAGGGATGTCATTGATCAAGATGCCTTGCTTGCACTCAGAATCTGTCTTGTTGAATTGAAACCCCTTTGTACAACTTCCTTAAAAAATGGGAAAAAAGGGTTGGGAAGGTGGCTCAGTGGTAGAGCGCTTGCCTTGCATGTGTGAGGCCCTGGGTTCGATTCCTCAGCACCATATAAGCAAAAAGAAAAAAGCCGGAAGTGGGGCTGTGGCTCAAGTGGTAGAGCGCTAGCCTTGAGCTGAAGAGCTGAGGGACAGCGCCCAGGCCCAGAGTTCAGGCCCCACAACTGGAACAAAAAAAACAACAAAAAAAAAAGGGAAAAAATAGTTTACTAAACATCACGAAAATGTTGTATTTCCCAGAGCATAGAGGCCTTTGGATCAACCCTGGGGCTTCCAGGGGGAAGCAGTAAGCAGAGGTAATATTGTGACCCCGGAGCGGTACCTTGTCTAAAACCTTGAAGAAAGCTGTGCTGTCATGTGTCAAAACTCAGCTGGCATCTCCAGGAAGCGTAGGACATTGAGAGTGTGTGAGGAAATATAGCAGTCTGTCATAGGTGGGGTGGGAAATCAGACTTTTCCCTGAGATAGGCTTTCTTCTCTATGATTTCTACGTTCACACACAAGCCATACTCTTCGAGATGTGAGAAATCCCAGCTCACTGACTTGGCTTTTGAAAACTGGATGATTTTTTTCTGTGTGCCCTTGGTGATTTTACCCTTGCTGCATAACCTACACTAGAGACTCAAAGGCCAATTTGTCCGCAAGCGTGTCTGTGCGTTTCCTCAAAGCAGCCCAGAGAGTGTGGGTCATGGGTAAAAACTTGAATTCAGATCTCATTACTTTGGTAATATAGGAAGCAAAAGAAGTCGATCATGAAGGGCCTTCTTCAAAGTAGCTAAAGCTGTTCTTGATTCCAAAAGGAGTTGTTGGAGTAGGGACACATTATGCCACAAGGGGAGCCCTCAAAATGTTTATGAGCAGTGGGGTGGCAAGACTCAGAGCAGGACTGCTTTCTGTCTTCTGTGTCTTGAGGCACTTTTTGCCTTTATTTTCTCCTTCTTTCATTAAACAAATATTAAAAAGTTATGTTTTATGACTCTTGTCAATACAAAGACAAATAGAATTCATGTTGGATCCATTATCATGGATCTGTTATTATATTTTTTCCTTCTGATTTTAAAAGGAATGAAAATTAAAACCCTGGAAGGGCTTTTAGAGGGTGTGTGTGTCTGTGTGTGTCTGTGTCTGTGTGTCTGTGTGTGTATGTGTCTGTGTGTGTGTGTCTGTGTGTCTGTCTGTGTGTGTGTGTCTGTGTGTTTCTAATCCCAGCTACATCGGAGGTGAAGATAGGAGGAGGGTGATTTGAAGCTAACCCAGTCAACAGATCAATTGGATGTCATGGTTCCCGGTGATCCCTAGCTATATGAGAAGTGAAAGTGGAGGATTTCAGCCTGAGGTTCCCCCAGGTAGAAGTGAAAAAATAAAGGCTAGGGGGTGTAGCTCAAGTGCTAGAGTCCTTGCCTAGCCGGAGCAAGGGGAAAACTGAGTTCAAATACCAATACTGCCCCCAATAAAGCATGTTGGGGTGTAGGTACTCTGCCTTTCATGTTTAGATAAGTCATCTTGGTCACAATATGGAAGCCTCAGCCTTCCAGAGTGCCTGTGTGCGTCCCAGGTAAGCAGCGGAGAGAGATTGCTTCTGCTGCTCAGGTTTCTGAAGAGCTGGCCTCATTCTCATTCTGGACCTTGAAATCCAGAGTGCAGATTTGGTACTTCCTTCTGGAAGCTGGGGGTTGGCTGCATAGGTGCTTGAACAACTAATGGCCTTATGGTAGAAATACTTTCTGGTGCTCTTGGCATGTTCATTGACCCCAGGACCCAATCTTCACAGCGTAGTCTGACTGTCCTGGTCTAGCGTAGTACTGTTGATCTACAGTTAGGTTTCCATTGCATTTGGGTAGTCATTTTTTTGAGAATTAATTTGTATGTTTGGGTCACTGAGTTTTTAATCCATGAAATGAATTGCATGGATTGCTAACAATCCAGGCAAAGAGCTTGAGTTAAGTATTTTTTTATTCACGAAGTTGATATACAGTCATTGTATTATGTGTTTTCAGGGAATGGAAATAATAGTGTCTATCATCTATCTATCTGTCTGTCTGTCTATCTTTCATCTCCCTATCTTTATCTATCACCTGTATCTGTCATCTGCATATCTGTCATACATCTATATCATCTGTCTATCTATCTGTCATTTATCAATAATTGATGCATCTGTCATCTACCTTTTGTTGTTGTTGGTGGTGGTAGGGCCTGAACTCTGAGCCTGGGCGCTGTCTCTTCAGCTCAAGGCTAGCACTCTACCACTTGAGCCATAGTGCCACTTCTGGCCTTTTCTGCTTATATGGTGCTGAGAAATTGAATTCGGGGCCTTATGCATGTAAGGCAAGTGCTCTGCCACTGAGCCACCTTCCCAGCCCTCATCTATCTATTAGCTTCCTATCTTATTCTCAGATGTACAGTTGGCAGACTGGAGACTTGTGAGCCAATGCTATTCCAGTCTGCTTAAGATTCAGGAAGAGCCAGTGTTTCAATTTGAGTCTGAATGTTAAAGGCAGGAGGAATTCCCTCTTAGTCTTTTTTTTTTTTTTGTCAGTCGTGGGGCCTGAACTCTGGGCCTAGGTGCTGTCCCTCAGCTCTTTGGCTCAAGGCTAGTACTCTACCACTTGAGCCATAGTACCACTTCTGGCTTTTTCTGCTTATGTGGTGCTGAGGAATCAAACCCAGAGCCTCATGCATGCAAGGCAAGCACTCTACCACTGAGCCACCTTCCTAGC